TTGTCATGAAGACCTCAGTGGCTGCAGTTGTCATGAAGACCTCAGTGACTACAGTTGTTGTGGAGATCAGTGGCTGCAGTTGTTATGGAGACCTCAGTGGCTGAAGTAGGTGTAGAGACCTCAGTGGCTGAAGTAGGTGTGGAGACCTCAGTGGCTGAAGTAGGTGTGGAGATCTCAGTGGCTTCATTTCTCATGGGGACCTCAGTGGCTGCAGTTGTTATGGAGACCTCAGCGGCTGCAGTAGACATAGCTACCTCAGGGGCTGCAGAAGCCATAGCTACTTCAGGGACGGCAGGTGGTGTAGCCACTTCAGGAACTGCAAGAGGTGTAGTCACTTCAGGGAGCGTAGCCACTTCAGGGGGCATAGCCACTTGAGAGGGTGTGAGGACCTCTGGGGGTGTGAGGACCTCTGGAGACATGTAGACCTCTGGTGTAGATGTGGGGACCTCTGGTGGATCGTCACAATTAACACCCACTGGAAGATATGGAAGGGGGTTGTCATAGAGGTTTTGCTACGTCATCAACTTCAGATCTATCTTGTAAATGTGTCGCCGAGGCTCAGTGGGATAAACCTGTATAAATAAAGATTGAATTAATCAGCTGAGTCAGATCCTCTGGTGGTACAACCTTGCCGGACTGCTCTGAAATCTGCCAGAGGCACAGGAGGAAGCATTGACAGATCAGGAGAGAGTACAGAGGGCAGCTGTGGCTGAGTGGTTAGAGCAGTCGCCCTCCAATGCAAGAGTTGGGGGTTCGATTCCACCAGCAGTCACATGTCGATGTATGACTGTGATAAAGCACTGATTATTCTTTGTACAGAAATAGTAGAGTGCTGTGTGAATGGGTAAATGAGGGCACAGATTGTGTTGTTAAGTGCTTTGAGTGTCTTGATAAGATAGAAAGGAGCTATATAAGTGTAGTCCATTGACCATTTATCCATTTACAGTGGACCGGGCCTGGGTCCGATGTTGGACCCTCCTTCGATGGTGACCAGGAGGAACAGATCCCTCAAGCAACTCCGGAGAAATGCTGGAGGCAGGACTCACTTTGGGCTTAGCCTTGCTTTGCTGAGTGGAGAACGCTTGAGGCTCAAAAGATACTGGTGGACTGGGTTGACTGAGGCCGAGGAAGGCGGGTGACCTAAAATAGGTGTGCAGAGCACATTGCTCCTCCAGCACCTCCTCAAGCAAATCCCGCATCCCAGGAAAATCCACCAGTCCAGACAGCTGCTGGAACTCTTTCAAAAAATCCTTTGTGGCGACTCACCTAGCCAGTGGTCAGCTGGAAGTGGTCACACAGTCCACAAAGCTGCAATTAACACTGCAGAGCCGCTGGAGGTCCTCCTGAGTGGCCGCAGGCAGGAACAGGAAGCCTGCTGGGTTATTCTTGGGTCTGGTCATTTTGCCACATTCATTGCTTTAGTGTTGAACCCAGGTGTACCCTAACCCTATCAAAACAAAGGCAGCACAATGTACAGTCTTGGATGACAAGAGGGAACACAGGAACAAGGAGCTTGACATGACAATGACCAGACAATGAGACGTACCAACATGCAGACTTTAATGCACAACCACCGACGAGACAAAGTGCAAACACCTGCAACAAATAACAGGTGTAGAAAAGAGGGACTGATCACAAAGAAGAGCAGGACTAAAGACACACCACAAGGGGGCACAATCATTTAACAGTTGTGTCAACTTCATTCTGACATCATAAACAAGTTTCAACCAGTATTGCACTGGGTTGTATCTATTGCAAACTGCAAACAACAGTCACAAAGTAGTTTTCAAAATGTTTCAAAACATTTGCAGGGTCTTTCTACAAGTTGTAGAGACCTTGCTCTTGTGTTGCAAGAATTTTAATAATTCATTTGTCCTTCAGTTTTATTTACCCACTTTTCCGTACAAGGCGGTTGGAAGCTGGGGCTTCATGAACAAAACCTTGTGTGGAAATCCTACTGAAACACAGTAGCATATTAGTACATTCCAATTGGTGTGGATATTGGTACACAAGACATCTGCCCTGACAAGCCTCCATTTAAACATGCAAATGGATACAAATATGCCATGCACATGTGATTCTCCTTTCTGCATAATCAAAGCTCATGTCTACAAGCACAAAGAAGAGAAACTTGTGCAGTGTTATTCAGATTTAAATAAGATAGAGGTGCATAAAAATGTTCTTTGGCACAATGTCCTCTGGCATTAGTGCCAAGAGCAAGAGGAGTGACCGCGTGTACGGTACTGTCACTAATTACAAGACAGCTTGCAGATGAGGCTGAAACATTTCAGACTTTATGCAAGCATTTATTGTCATAACTATTGTATACACAGAGGCACCCAGTGACTTGGTAGTACAGTATAATTATACTTCAACCAGAAAAACAAAAAACAAAAAAAAAGCAGAAAGTCTCTCATGTGAACCACTGAATTGTAATGATGCTGTGAAGGATATTATTCTGGGGGTGCACAGACTCAGTCCTTCACTGTTGTGAAGCCGCACTATGATGTGCATCATGAGTCACGGGCATGTGCAATAATATTTTCACATCATTAACTGTTTCCCAGCACACCTTAAAGGTGTTGCCAATGGATCAATAACTGTAGAAAGATGTGAAGTTGGTGTGGGACTACACACATTTCAATAGTCATTTCATTGTTTATACCTCTGAAGTTTCTGTGTATATGCACCCTTTGTACATGAGACCTCAGGTGCCTATCTGCAGTGGTCACTGGGTGAGGGACAGGGTACAACATTGTTGGATTGTCTATCTATTACATGGAGACAAACAACCATTCACACTCAATCTCACATTAGGCTATTTTGAGTTGTGAGCTTGTCTGAAAAACTAAATATTATGGAGAGCTTCCACTGTCATGTGAAACTCTACTTAATATTGTTTCTGAGTCAGAAAGTGCAAACGATTGAGACATTATATACCAGATAGTGACCACTCATGATTTCTTTAAATAGCCCCATTTCAAAAAATTGAGCCATCCCTTAAACTTTTGAAATGGGCCAGTAAAATCTTGATAAAAATCTAAAGAAAGTCTAAATAAACATGGTCAGCATTAAAATATTGAGATAGAAAAATGGTAAACACAAGCCTTTAGCTCTAACACATT